AGTCTAACATGGGAGAGAAGGCTATTCTAATGCAGACTTTATGTATGCTCTGAAGATCTGGTTGAGGGAAGCAATCAAGACAGTGCTCAAGGCATTTTCCTGAGCCATGCAATTCAGAGCTGAGTCCTGAATTTTAATAGTAAAGGAAGTCCCAGCCAGGTACAAAAGGTCTCGTTGACTCATGTGTGTGCTATTTTAGGAATGAAGCTTTTAAGTTTTATGCTAAAACCTGGGTGTCGTTCCAACTGCTTGGAATCCAGGAATGCTGCTTATGAAAGTCTCTGTTCACATAAAAATAATTAAACAACATAAAGTGTTTTCTGAAATCTATTAGTTTGAAAATGGAAGTGGAAGAAGATGGTGCCTGCTCTTCAGTGAGTAGTGAGTTCCTCTCAGTACCTAGTGAAATACCTGTTGTACATCATGAGTTTCTTATACATCTCATGGAGTGGTGCGTCTTCAGGTGGTGGGGTTCTGCAAGCTTCATTCCAACTGTGAACTTTGCGTTTTTATTTACCTTAACCATTAAGTTCTATGGTAAAAATTGAGCTGAGGTAGATGGTCGGTAGGTGGAAGGAGGGATCATCACTAATGATGACCCAGTTTATGCGCACAGCAGTGCTGGACAGCTCTTTGTTTCCTAAATGTTCTGCTGTGCCATGGGAGCAGGTCTGTAGCCAGTAGGAACCTGGCTGAAGACACAGGAACAGCAGCAGAACGAGGACATATTCTGGGCAAAGTGATGTAAAAACCACCAAAGCAAGATTTTGTGTTTTGCTCAATGCTAACTTTTATTGTCTACAAATCAAGAGAGGGAATGAAGAATGATAACATTAACAGCAAAGATAGCCCAAGTCCCATACACCAAGAAAAGAATTAACAGCCCCACTAATATCTAAGAGCTTTTTTGCTTTGCACGATGAGTGACGTATTCAAGTGCATTGCAGATGTTCAATAATGAAAAGGCAGAAAGAAGGCAGCTCAAGTTTGAAAACAAGAAGAAAATCACAAGGTGTTTACTCCATCGTCATGTGAACCAGGAGCAAATGAGCAGGTTTTCATCTCCTTGTGCCTGTTCTTTTTGTGTGCCAGAGATGGGAGCCGGCAGAGCTGCTTTTACTTCCCAGAGTTAGATCAGCGAAGCCTCTTGATTGTGGTACAGCACTGCTGGATGGGAATGCCATACTTCCTCAGGGGATAGCAGCATGGCACAGGGCTGCAATTCAGCACAATGGGCTTCTTCACGGTGTAGGAGCAGCAAGATAGACACGCAGCAGGGCAGCAAGGGCGGCAGGTACAGCAGCAGGGTACCTGGCCACAGCAACAGCAGGTCTTCTGGCACACCTTGGTATCACAGACGGACTGTTGGCATGGGTCACAGCAGACAGACTGCTGGCATGGGTCACAGCAGGTAGACTGCTGGCACGGGTCACAGCAGACAGACTGCTGGCATGGGTCACAGCAGGTAGACTGCTGGCATGGGTCACAGCAGGTAGACTGCTGGCATGGGTCACAGCAGGGCTTCTGGCATGGGTCACAGCAAACAGACTGCTGGCATGGGTCACAGCAGGTAGACTGCTGGCATGGGTCACAGCAGACAGACTGCTGGCATGGGTCACAACAGGGCTTCTGGCATGGGTCACAGCAAACAGACTGCTGGCATGGGTCACAACAGGGCTTCTGGCATGGGTCACAGCAGACAGACTGCTGGCATGGGTCACAGCAGGGCTTCTGGCATGGGTCACAGCAAACAGACTGCTGGCATGGGTCACAGCAAACAGACTGCTGGCATGGGTCACAACAGGGCTTCTGGCATGGGTCACAGCAGGGCTTCTGGCATGGGTCACAGCAGACAGACTGCTGGCATGGGTCACAACAGGGCTTCTGGCATGGGTCACAGCAGACAGACTGCTGGCATGGGTCACAGCAGGGTTTCTGGCATGGGTCACAGCAAACAGACTGCTGGCATGGGTCACAACAGGGCTTCTGGCATGGGTCACAGCAGGGCTTCTGGCATGGGTCACAGCAGACAGACTGCTGGCATGGGTCACAGCAGGGCTTCTGGCATGGGTCACAGCAAACAGACTGCTGGCATGGGTCACAGCAGGGCTTCTGGCATGGGTCACAGCAAACAGACTGCTGGCATGGGTCACAGCAGGGCTTCTGGCATGGGTCACAGCAAACAGACTGCTGGCATGGGTCACAGCAGGGCTTCTGGCATGGGTCACAGCAGGACTTCTGGCATGGGTCGCAGCAGACAGACTGCTGGCACGGGTCACAGCAGGTAGACTGCTGGCATGGGTCACAGCAGACGGTCTTCCGGCATGGGTCACAGCAGATGGTCTTCTGGCATGGGTCACAGCAGACTGTCTTCTGGCATGGGTCGCAGCAGACGGTCTTCTGGCATGGGTCGCAGGAGCAGGACTGCTGGCATGGGCTGCAACAGATGGTCTTCTGGCATGGCTGGCAGCAGCACACAGCCTTGCTCTTCACGACGGAGCAGCATCCGCATCTGCAACAACGCATGTTGTTTGTAGAGTGGTCAAGGCTGGGAGGAGCGAGGACCTGAAACACAGAGTACTTTCAGATACAACTTCTTCCCAAGTATATAGAGGTGTGTTTTGTTTTGGCGTTCAAATGCTGCTAAGTCCAATGGTAGTAGCCACATCATACCCTGCTCCCAACTTATTTGCTTTGACTTCCATCCCAAGAAGCTTATTTTCCACTTTGCTCTTTCTACCAACTGTCTTTTGCAATAAGCAATAGACCAACAGGCTTGGAAAGCCTGCATTTCAGAGAGAGCTTTAGCTCACAGAATCATAGAATAGTTTGGTTTGGAAGGGACCTTTAAAGGTCCTTTAGTCCAACAACCCACAAAGATCAGAATCAAAGACACATTTCCATTCATTGCTTGACCAAAGCCAAATGAGAACCATTGCCATCAAAGAACACCGCTAATGGGTAATGCTTACCGTGCTAACTGAGTGGTGCAGTTGAGTGAGGAGCAAAGGGATGGGGAGACCTTTTATTTAGCTCCAAATTGTCCTTCCGGAAATGAGGTACCCCACAGCAATTCATGATTTATGTGTTAAGCCTATACTTATTTGTTGAATGGGCCTTCATCTATTTAGTCTTTGCCTCATTATTTCTGACCAGCCCATCCATTCTGAGTTATTATCCATTTGTTCTGTAAATTTTTTACAGTTTTTTAATGTCAAGTTAAATGGCAGTGTCAATTGCAGATTGACATCTTGTGTGATGCTTGTGAACTGCATAAGAGGCATGTTTCTGCTCATTTTGCATATGGTAATGCGGTTACATTGAGATGCTAGGTGGCTTGTTCAGAGCTAGCGAGTCCTCAATTAACATAAAATCCATAATTAAGATTGAGGAGCAGTCAGTTCCATGGATGTGCAGAGGCTTTCTGGACGTCAGGCACTTCTCAATATGTTTTTTTTCTATTAAAACAGAATTCCAGAAAGTGTAATTCCATGCCCTCATGGTTTGCTTTTGGACGGAGAAATGCTAAAGCCCAATGTCTGTCTTTGGAGTCTCTGCTCATCAGAAGGGCATATATGTGACAGGAAGCTCTTGACATAGAATCATAGAATGGCTTGGGTTGGAAAGGACCTGAAGATCATCCAGTTCCAGCCCCCTGCCATGGGCAGGGATACCTCACACTAGAGCAGGTTGCCCAAGCCCCTGTGTCCAACCTGGCCTTGAACACTGCCAGGGATGGGGCAGCCACAGCTTCTCTGGGCACCCTGCACCAGCGCCTCAGCACCCTCACAGGGAAGAGCTTCTTCCTTACATCTAACATCATAACCCTTTGTGCCTCATCCCATCCATGCATGGGAAAATGCATGCCCTTGGCCTTTCCAATATCAGAAATATTAGGTGCAAAGGACTGTGCCAATTTATCATGGAAGTTTGGAATAGAATCAGGGTTAAATTGGTGTCTGTGTTTTCCCAGTTCCTTTGGGATATCTTTAAATAAAAGCAAAATGCAGAACTTTTCTGGCAGTTTTACATCCTGTTTATGCTCAGCACAACTTCATTAGCAAAATTCCTATTCCTTTTTTTTCCTTTCCAATTGTATTGTGCCCCCGAGCCATGAAAGATCCACCTACTCCTGTTACGTTTGGGATAACTCTAGGCTCAGACCTCAATCGCCCATTGGCAGTCATTAGTGCTGATGTTAATGATCACACTGCAATTATTCATTAATGAAGCTGATACTTAGTTTGCGTGAAAGCCTGAAGGCCTCACGTGATGCCCTGAGCACCTTTAGGATTTCCAATTAAACTATGTCTTTACCAAAATACACCTGTCTCCGGTCAGAAGGGACTCATGGGACCCCAGCCCATGACTGACGTGACCAAATGTCTTGGGTTTGAGATCACCCAAAAAGGGAGGGATGCTCCTGCTGCTGTGGGGTTGTGCATCTGCGGGAGCAGAGCACCAAAGGACCCTTGGGACTATCTCTTACAACATGCTGTCTCACAGAGATATCTTGATTTCTGCTGAGGTGAAGGAGAGAAGATTCTGTCTTTATGCGGAAACACAGTGGGATCCATGTCGCAGATCCTGAGGGCAAGATAGGTCATTGTAACCCTTCCATCGTCTACTGGTGACATAAAGCACCTGTTTCCACTCAGTCTCTGTTGGGTAGCTACTGTTCCTATTTGACTACATCCCAACTTTGAGATTCATAGAAACCACCCAGGCTTGCTTTGAGGAATTAAAAAGACCATGAGGTCACCACCACTCCAGGCAAGCTCTTTCCAAGGTCAATATTGCTGTCCACTAAAACACAGGCTTTGTTTCCTACTGAGTTTGCCTTCGTGCTAATGACTGGGTTAGACTGGGTCACTGCCACCCATTATAATCTAATTAGTGATAGAGACTTACATGGGCTGAGTACCTGCTTCTCAGCTAACAATAACAATAAAGGAGGCTAATGGCAAGCTGGGAGGTGGTTTTTGATCTTGCAGAGAAACGCCAGGAGGCTCTGGTATTAGGAACATGGAGGATCAGGAGCAGGGAGGTAAAGTAAGAGCTATTGGTCAAAGTTAGGCAGTTTTCTGTGTGCTGTTGTAGGGATCTGGTGCAGTGATTCACCCAGTGCCTCTCTGAATCAGAGCCCCCTTGCTGCTGCTACAGCTGATCAGAGATGCCTGAAGCCGTTTGAGGTGGATCCATAGACAGCTAAGGTTTTCCAAGAGAAAAGGTTCAAATTTGATCCCAAACAAGATCCCAATTGAATTTTACATTGAGTGAATGAACTTAGCAGGCTCTGTAAGATGCCCAGAGTAACACTGCTCTGTTTGTTTGGATTTGAAAACTACGGATGCAGTGAAGCAATCCTTGCTGTGAAGCAGTTAAGGCAAATTCTTCCTCATTAATCCTTAGGGGTTTGCTCATGGTTTATCCTGGTTGTGGAAATCCACTGTTACATTATTTAACAAGTAGTCAGCAGAGCAGAAATGTTCCTCTAAGCCATCTAGAGTGTTAGGCATAGAGGATTTCTTCTCTTGCTAAATGTCTATGGGCTCTGATTTGAAAGAAAGTATTCTAATGAGGTAAAACATTTATAAAATCTTTGGTCCTTAATGTCCCAACCTTGCCAGGGTTGACAAATACTTGGAATCACAGAATCATAGAATAGTTAGGGTTGGAAAGGACCTTAAGATCATTAAGAATGGAATAGAGTAGAAATGAAACCAGCTTTGTTCTTGTTTCCCTGTGATCTTCAAGTTAACGGGAACAGCAGAAAGAGCAATGAGTTCAGAAGCCTTTTGTGGGATTTGGAAAAGGAGGAGGAAACAGTGTGTTGTGATTAGTCAGAGAATAGACTTGGAGGCTTGGGTAGCAAGGGAAAGTGAACTTGAAGACAAAATCATGCCTATGTACAAAAACCCCTTTCTGACACAATACCTGACCGGAGAGTGAAGAATGAGTAAGGAAAAGAGTTTTTAATGCAGCTGCCATGGGTTGCATGAAAAATGAGCCATCTCTTAGCAATGGCAGCAACTTGAATGGAGGTGAGTAACTAATTGCTCTCTGCATCCCGTTTGCAACTTTTCCTTTTTAGCTGTTCCTCTATAATGACAGTTTTCTCCTTAACCTATAAATACCTAATTCCAATTACTTATATACCAAGTGGTCATTTACAGGGTGCTTGCAGCTCAGCCAACTCATTTCCCACGCCTGCCCTCGGATGGATGAATCACGCTGGAGAAACCTGTCATTTTACACTGTAGAAATAGTTTAATTGTTCCAAACCCTGCAGGATTTGCTTTGTTTTGTTTCCAAACATAGCAGCAGCTTTTAAAGATCACCTCTGCAGTGAAAACATGAAGGTGCAGGCCAGGCCCCAAGCTCTTAACTCTGAAAACCCCTTTGCTGAGCTCAATGCAAAGATTGGGTTTCACCAGCAATTAACACAACGTGTTTCTCCTAGCCCTCTGCATGTGTTGCAGCACTCCTGGCATCGCTGGTGGTGCTGCGGGCGTTTTCCTTCACTTTCATGTTTTCTTGGCATTCCTCCTTCTCTAGCTATTTTCACCAGTGATTAAAGCATGGCTCCAAAACCACAAGACAAAACCCGATGCCGCCAGATAGGCAGATACGGCGGAGCAGTGACTAAAACCATCCAGAACTGTTAGGTAGGCTTGATATATAATTTTTATTGTCTTGCTGGAGATAGAAGCAGCAAAGCAAGAAAGAAACTATTCCCAGTGGACACTGGTCTTTGCTTTGGCAGAAAGATTCAAAGATCATTAAACTGAGAGACTTATCCTAATACCATGCTACCCTCCAGCCCTTTTAAAGGTGTTTGCTTGCAGAGGAGCAAGGGCTGGCAAGTAATGAGCAAGGAGATGAGCTTGAGGTTTTGGGTGAGATCCAGTGCTGGGGTTGAATCCTGCTGTTAGTACTTGGGGCATTTTGGTGGCAGGTCACAGATGTTCTTGGTGTACTGGGGGCAGTAGCGCTGCACAGGGGGGCAATAACGCTGCACGGGGGGGCAATAACGCTGCACGGGGGGGCAATAACGCTGCACGGGGGGGCAATAGGACTGCACAGGGGTGTAGCAGGGTGTCACGTAGGTGAACTTCTGCACAGGCTGCCTCTGGATGGTGTAATGGCAGGAGGATCCTGAGCTGTGGCAGCCGGAGCTGGATCCATGGCAGCCAGAGCTGGATCCATGGCAGGAGGACTCATAGTCATGGCAGGACCCGCGGGAGCACATCTTCCTGGAGTATTGGCAAAGCTGTCAAGAGCAAGAGATCCATGTGGTGAGAGGAGCCCCAGATTTACTTCTTCTATTCCCTCCCTAGGAACTAGAATTATCTTAAGGTCTTTTCAACAAGGTTTTCCTACCAAAACCATGATTCAAACTCATGATTCTTGAGATCCCCAGTGAACTTCTCTTTCTTTTTGCCTACCTAATCCAGACTGAATCATAGACTCATAGAATAATTAGGGTTGGAAAGAACCTTAAGATCATCCAATTCCAGCCCCCCTGCCATGGGCAGGGACACCTCACACTAAACCATGTCACCCAAGGCTCTGTCCAACCTGGCCTTGAATACCGCCAGGGATGGAGCATTCACAACTTCCCTGGGCAACCCATTCCAGTGCCTCACCACCCTAACAGTAAAGAATTTCTTTCTTATATCCAATCTAAACTTCCCCTGTTTAAGTTTTAACCTGTTACCCCTTGTCCTATCACTACAGTCCCTATACTTCAGATACTGGAAAGGTGCTATGAGATCTCCACGCAGCCTTCTCTTCTCCAAGCTGAAGGTACCCTCAGTCCTGACTAATCTGGAGGGCTTGCTCTGGCAACTGCTGTGTGAAGCTAAATCCCTTCAAACCAACACAGTAAACTCCCAGGTCTCATCACCCTTGTGAACCAGAATGGAGCTCGTGTTGCCTGAGGATCCCTTTGCGTGCCTTTGCTGCACCTTCCCTGGTGATCCCATCCCTCCATCCATGATACCTGCCTCAGAGCACCGCAAAGGTGCCAGGCATTTAGCTAAGTCCCAACTCCCAAGCTCCACAGAAACCTTTAGTGGAGCATCAACCAAGATAGTAAAATCGGTCTTACCCTCGTCAGCTACAAGGAGAAGCGTCTGGAAGCAAAGTTGAGTGACTGAGGAGGACTGCATCCAGTGATCTTTTATAGGGCTCCAAAAGGTTATCTCGGATGTGAGACACCTCTTTGTAATGGCGATTTAATTACTTCCACACTCAATCCCGGCAACGTTTGCACTACCCTATTTTTAGCCTTTCCTCTTTGACGCACCGTATATCATCCGATATGCAATTCCTAATGGATTTTTCCATAAAGATTTTGGAAGGCATCTCCTTGCCGTTTCCTGGAGATTAACACTAATCTCATAGGTGTTAATTAGCTTGTGAATGGGCCACTGGGATTGCATCAGTAACTGAAGGTCTTTATATCTCAGAAATGCTGACTCCTGGGGTAGGGCCTACCGTTCTGTGCGGGTGACAGCTCAGGATTGTAATTTATATGTTGTTGAATGCCAAGAGGAAATGGGATTACGAGCACCACAACTCATGGGTATGGCATGATGTTGGGAAGTCTGGCGTGACCCCTTCGTTTCCCCGGTACAGCAAAAAAAATCAAGTATTTGTGATCCTTCGTATGTTCTTTGACCTGGCTGGTCTCATCAGATTGTTCCACGTGTATCAAAGGTTATTTAGTACTTCAGATCAGAGAAAAATGCCTCCTCTTTGCAGGGCACGAGGATGGTAAATTTTCCTGTTCCTTGGATTTTCTTTCCCTTCGTTAATATGATAGACTTTTTCACCTGACCTCACCTGCAGAAGTGTCTGGAAAGCGAAAGATTTGGAGAAATGGAACATTTGAGCAAAATACTAGGTTCTGTCACTGTCACTAGTGGTGAAATTATGAGCATTAAAGATGGATTTATAATCCAGTTTGACCTGGCCTTTGAAGCATGAGAAAATGAAGCTCATAACTCATCAACTTTGGAAAATGTTACCCATTAGAGTAATTTGCTAACTGCTAAAGAGAAGCGTTCTCTAAAGTACTGGTGTCCTACAACTTTTCTTCAGGCTAGAGGTGACATAATTGCTTGTGGTGAGTTTTGTGTAGCAAGGTAGGATTGCACAAATTCCTCAGGGACATTTTGTGACTCAGTTGTGTGTCCAAAACCCTGTCAGCGAAGCTGTTGCTTGTCTGACACTTCTCCTTTCCTCTGTGCTTTGGCCTCCAGCATCACACCAATGCTCCTCAGAAATCTTTCTACCTCCTCAACAGCCTTCCGAAACCTGGGTTATACCCACTTGAAAACTGTTTCTGAATCAAATTCAGATCTTGCTCAGGAAAACAGCATCTCTAAAGAGTTCTCATCCATTGCTTGCGATTCTTTTAGGGGAGTACGTAAGGGAAGCCCAATCTACAGTAATTAAGTATCAGTTTCAGGGTAATGTGGTGGTTGATACTTGCTCAGTTACATTCAGCATTGTTTGGTTTATGAGCTCTCCTCAATTGAGCTGTTCAGATCTGTGTCTTACATGAGGTGGATTTTCTCCTGACATTTCTCTGCTCCATATATACCAAGAGTATATAGGTATATATATATATATATATATATATGAGTATATACTACTTAGAAACAGCACTGGAATATAAAAAAGAAGTTTGTGACTTCTGTTTTCAGAGGTTCAGAAGTAATAAGAGATTTGAAAACCTTTGTATGCCCAAATTCTGAAGTTGAGCTTGGAGTTGCATATATTGAGTAAGAATATGAACAACTGTGAACTGCTTATTCCTCTTTCATTTAATGTGTCCAAAACAAAGGAATTTGCATTGAATTGGCTTTGTTGTTGTTGTTTTCAAACTGATGGGACAAAACTGTGTAGACCAACTCATTGGCTGGTGTAAGCAGGGGAAGGTTTGCTCTGTTCAGCTCTTTTTAGGTCCATTTCATTTTTGGTAGTTAAGAACTTTTCCCCCTTCTGATGTGTCTGTTTTCTTCCTGAGTGAACATGGGAATTGTTGGCCACCAACTATTGGGGCATTTTGAGAATAGGAAGAAATTGGACTAAAGAACCAGAAAACAAATTAAAAAGCCTAAAGAAAAAAAAAAAGGAATAAAGAAACTGAAGCACAATACAGGTCTCATGAATTGTAAGATTTATTTCCCACACCCAGATGAGTACTGGAACAGAAGTGCATAGCACAGAAAGATTCCCAACAGTAATTATGCCCTGAATAATTAGAAAGGACATTTCCTGAATAATTAGAAAGAATGACACCATGAATGATAATTAGGGGAACACTTCATCCAGACCAGTGGTGAGGCACATGACAGAGACCCAGGGATTTCAGTAAGGATGAGATGATCCACGGCCACAGCATCCAAGGGAGGAGTGAGCTGGTGGGTCCAGGTGCCAGAGCTGGATCCTGCTGTTAGTACTTGGGGCATTTCGGTGGCAGGTCACAGATGTTCTTGGTGTACTGGGGGCAGAAGGGAGCCGGGGGGTAGTAACGCTGCACAGGGGGGCAATAACGCTGCACAGGGGGGCAATAGGACTGCACAGGGGTGTAGCAGGGTGTCACGTAGGTGAACTTCTGCACAGGCTGCCTCTGGATGGTGTAATGGCAGGAGGATCCTGAGCTGTGGCAGCCGGAGCTGGATCCATGGCAGCCAGAGCTGGATCCATGGCAGGAGGACTCATAGTTGTGGCAGGTCCCACGGGAGCACATCTTCCCGGAGTATTGGCAAAGCTGTAAGGAAGAAAAAGAGACCATAAAACTGATACAGCTGCCCCACTGTAACTTTCTTCTTTTTCCTTGGCTCTTTACCCATAGAAATTTTGTTTTCCTCTGTTTTGTAATGTATGGGATATCTTGACTCTAAAATTATCTTGGCTTGTCTTTTGGAGATGCTCTATGGTGGTCCATCTCTGATGGGAATTTCTGTACCAAGAAGCTGCTGTTGGCTTTTTAAGTTGAATTTTACTTCTAAAATCACACTGACTTGTCTCAGATCTCTCTCCCTCCATCTAGTCTGGGAATTAAATCCTTGCTAGGTCCCAAAGGTTGTCTTTGCAGATCTGGGCCTTCAAGTACTCCTGTTTTCCTGTCATCCCATCTGCTGTAAGAAAACCATGGGCACCCTTTGTGTAACTTACACATACAGCCACCAAAACTAAGAAATTTCTAAGACAAAGGCAAGATCTAAATACAGAATTAGTCAGCTAGAATTCCTCTGTGAGCTCCTGCTCCTCGGAGTAGAAGAATCAATATAAGCCAACTTACCCTTTCTTGGAGCAAGCAAGAAGAGCACTGGGAGCTGCTGCTGAATGAAGGAGGAACAGAGGATGTTGAACTTTTATATCTTCCAAGGGGCTGTCTGAGAAATTATGCATCTCTTGGCAATGCTGACAATTAAGTTGTCACATTCATATTTATCTCCTGTGTCTAGTTTTTTAGCGCTTCCGATTTGACACAGTCAGGAAGAACAATTATGACTTTTTTCTTAACATGTTAATAGGCAATGAATTTCCCAATCTGCTTTATAAGGGAATTTTGAAGGCAGTTGCATATTTACGTATGAAAAATGAACCTAACCCTAGAGTTATTAAGTGATTTGTTGTTGGGCAACCGGTATTGCATCAACATTCAATTCACAAGTGTTGACTCCTAACCCGCATGCTACCCCTTGGTCCACATGGCAGACTCACATTTTGATTGATATGTGCTTTTTGTGACACAAGGGACTGTAATTATCAGCCACGACTCACATGGACTCTACTTAGAGAGAAGTCCTGTTGACTAGCTCAAGCACACCTAACACCTCAACACCGGAGATGACGCTAGAAGGATGTCCCCAGTTCCATTTCTTCCGTTTCATTTCTGAGCCCATCAACCATCAACTCTCTTCCCCTTCTGCCACAATATTATCCTGTTTACATTCCTCCTAGAAGGGGATTTCAAATCCTAAGCAGGAAGGATTTGTGCTGGTAAGTTATCACCTGTTCGCATCCTGTTTCCAGATCCTAAATTGCTTCAGGCTCCTGTCTTACTTAAGCAGTTTTGTAATTTTTCTTCATTACAGTGTTTCATTATTTACCACCAAGTTTCTCCCACAATGGCCCAAGACTTGACTTCAAGACAGTGAAATGGGTAATTGTTCTTTTCCTGTGACTTTTCCTTATGTGATACTCTTTGGGAGCATCCCATAGGTCAGTCTTGCTGCAACCAGAACAAGGGGGGGCCTAAATGTTGCTAACCAAGTTCAGAAGGGAGCAGCTACCCTTCTTGAGATGGTCTTCATATCTTTCAGGGTTTATTTTCATGTCACTTTTTTGGGGGGGAGCAAATTAACTGCTACTCTGCCAACAGTTTTGTATTAAAATTCAGTTTTGTATTCAAATTCTTAATGATGCTAATTCATTATGAATTTGAAAATACATCCTGGAAAAGCATAGTTTCATATTCTGGTCGAGGTTCTTTCTTTTTCAAGGCCAAGACTGAGCAAAACCCCAGTGATTTTAAAGTCTTCTAAAGCCCTTGTTTAGGAAAATCTCACCTACAGTCTTCTGAAAAGCACTGAGAGTTATAAGTAATGAAAGAATGGTTCATCTAGGTTGATAAAGTGGCATTTTTGGGGAAGTCTCTTGTGTCATTTTTCCATCATGCAGGTTGCACCTATCCCTTTTGCAGATACTCAGAGTTAATGATGGAAGCTGAAGCTTGTTGTCAAGCTCTTTGTGAAACCGATGCAGAGAAACAGGCCCTGGCGGAAGAAAGCGAGCAATCCTGTTCTAGAATAGATGTCTCAGCTAGATGGGTTGGTTGTCAGCTGAGTAGATGATAAGGATAGTCTTAGGTTATCAAAAGTAGTGAGAGATTTAGCATTTATTTTTAACAGCGCGGGATTTTCATTGAGAACGCTAATTTGAAGTTCAGGGAAGGAAGGGGAGGGATAGAGAAGAATTTGAGGCACCTATTTGCATTTATTAGACACCTTAAAATGTTTGTAATCCTGAGTCAGAGTGACAAATGAAGTATGAGGAGCTGCTGAAGTAGGGAACTGGGAAGGACATTCCTAGGCTTCACAGGGTACAGATTGGCTCATTGTGTTCTTGTCCATAAATGCGTTCATCTGCTGCAAAATTGCATCTGGAATGATGGGCTTTCATTCACTTAGAAAATTTGGGATGTGTGCATTTTGTGATAAGTTGGAGAAGAAAAGAATGAGAAGTCAGAGGTAAAGATAATTCTTGAGTAAAGAGAATAAAATAATCATAAAATAATTTTTTTTCCTTGGAAATGAAATTTTATTGTCTCATAATGTTTTAGAGGTTGACATATCATGTGTAAGCCACCACCAGCAGAAATCAGTCCCAGTCTTTTGGGAAAGAGCATAGAACAGATCTGATTTATGTTTTGAAGGAAATTCTAATCACAGATGAGGTGATCAAGGATTCACACAGATCAAAATATGAGAAAAGAGAACCAGGGATTCAAGCTTTAGGCATCAAGAGCATCCAAGGGAAGAGTGAGCCGGTGGGTCCAATGCCGGGGCCGGATCTTGCTGTTAGAACTTGGGGCATTTTGGTGGCAGGTCACAGATGTTCTTGGTTAACTGGGAGCAGAAGGGGGCCGGAGGGCAGTAGCGCTGCATGGGGGGGAAATAGGGCTGCACAGGGGGGCAATAGGACTGCACAGGGGTGTAGCAGGGTGTCACGTAGGTGAACTTCTGCACAGGCTGCCTCTGGATGGTGTAATGGCAGGAGGATCCTGTGTCATGGCAGGAGGAGTGGGATTCATGGCAGGAGGTTTCATGGCTGTGGCAGGCCCTGCGGGAGCACATCTTTCCAGAGTATTGGCAAAGCTGGAAGGAAGAGAGAATTAGTCACGCTGGTGCGGTGGCCCCAGTCTGTATAAGCATACCTGCATTCTCTAATTTGCTCTGGATTGCCCCATTTTCTTACTAATTCCTAATTCTTCAGGGATAAGAAAGTGATTTCAATGCTGATTAGGTATTTATAATGATGTATATTATGTGCGGATTTACATCCCCCACTAAGACCATGAGCTTTTACAGCTGCAATTTGCTTTGCAGAGGAAAACTACTCAAAACATCGATTTCCCATAAGCAGCCTCAGGACCTTCAGTGTCTTCTACTCAAAAGCTTCAAAGCCACTTTTCCATAAAGTCCTCTCTCTGTATTTTCCAGTTTTTCTGTTATTTTGGTTCATCTTGAGCATCATCCTGCTCACCCTATATCCCAGTTGTTGTTTGAGTGAATAGAACAGCTTCTGTGAGTAACAAGAGCTTGGTCTCTGGCATGACCGAAGTCAAGACATGTGGAATATCATACTCCAACTCTACTAAAGCTTGTACAAAAGTATTTGGTTTCATAAAGAAACTCAAGAGAAACAGAAAAATTGGACTTACCCCTTCAGCAACAGGAATGAATGTGTTTAGGAGCAAAGAAGCGAATGAAGGAAACTGGGATGAGAAACCTTTTATATTCTTCCAAAGGTTTATCTGGGACATGAGGCATCTCTTGGCAAGTGTAACCTAATTACATATCCCAACCCATTTCTATCCCCTGTATTCAGCTTCCCACATTTTCCCTTTGATGCACTGTACTTTTAGCATTGTAATTGTCCCATAGGATATTAATAGCACTCTAATTCCTTTGCCTCCCTATGAAAGATATTGGAAGGTATTTCACACAAAGTGACGCCAATACTAAAGAAACTACTGGATCCGGTCACGGGCAGCAAGTATCAAGTGGAAGAGATGTTTGTAATTCAGTAGAACCATTTCCTCAAGCAGTGCCAGGATGTCACATGGACTGAGAGGTAAACGTGATCACACCTCCATGTGAAAGAAAAATCCTTGCTAATGTTAACACATGTGGATTATGTTTAAGGCAGGAATACTTCAGTTGAATTCCCTAATGGCACAGGATATTGTAATGAGAGATCCAGCATTATCCCATCGATGTCTTCACTAATAATTTCAACCTGTCTGCATGGTGTGCCCTATCAAAGATTTCTATTATTCTTGTGTTGACCTGTCATAACATAAGAAGGACATGGAACTGTTGGAGTAAGTCCAGAGGTGGCCACAAGGACCATCAGGGGCTGGAGCATCTCCCATACAAAGACAGGCTGAGAATACTGGGGCTGGGCAGCCTGGAGAAGAGAAGCTATGTGGAGACCTCAGATCAGCTTCTAGTGTCTGAATGGTGCTACAAGGATGCTGGAGAGGGACTCTTTATTGGGACTGTAGTGACAGGACAAGGGGTGATGAGTTCAAACTGAAACAGGGGAAGTTCAGGTTAAATGTAAGGAAGTGTGAGGGTGATGAGGCTCTGGCAGAGGCTGCCCAGAGAAGTGATAAATGCTCCATCCCTGGCAGTGTTCAAGGCCAGGCTGGATGGGGCATGGAGCAACCTGGTCTAGTGTGAGGTATCCCTGCCCATGTCAGGGGGTTGGAACTAGATGAATGTAAGGTTCTTTCTAACTCAAGCCATTCTATGACACTGGCTGGTCATATTTGTTATGGAAAAATGCATTGGACAAGGCTCTAGCTCGAGAAAATATAAACCAAGCTGTGTAATCTGGTAGAGGTAGATGCTTCTGAGCCTGGATTTTCCTGTGAATCATAGATGAACACTGGTCTTCCTCTCCGTGCCTATGTACAGGTCATGCCCATCTAACCCAACAATTACTCTTTCTTGTCCCATAAAAGGGAAGAATGTGTCAACACCAGGATGGCATCGTGGATTAGACTTCAGGCACAACTGATTTTGGGTGATGCTCTCCTGACTCACTGGGATCCCTGAAACAGGTCCATTCACCTCCGTGTTTCAGTATCGCAATGTACAGAATGAACCCATAAATATCTTGCTGTAAAGTTTTATTTTGGCTGTGGTTAGGCAACACCGGTAGAAACCTTTGATCTCGTATGGAGTAAATCTGTTGTCATATAAAAGAGAGAAGATAGTAAAAATACAAAAGTACATCAGATGTCGATATTGGCAACTAAAGGCACAAACAAACCTGGCTGTGGTCAGGGGAGAGCAAAGACCCAATTCTCTAGGAGCGCATCACTGCTGAAGCCTCCAGCTTTATAAAGTTCCCCTGTTTCGGGCCATTCCCTTCAGTTTGACTTCTCCTGTTGCTCTCCTGTTCTTGACTGAGGTATGTGATTTGACTGATCATCCAGGGCATTTATGAAAGCTTATCGGTAGACTATAGCTCTGTGTTTACCCACTTGGCTTGGCTCTGCCTAAAACTGCTTGTTTATTGTGCATAGTGCAAGAAAGAGATACTTTATATGGAGTATTTCTGATATTTCATTGATAAACAAGACAATAGAAATTAGGTTTTTGGAATAAATATCAAACTTACAGGAAAAACATGATAGTATCTTATATGTCATTCAGAAGATATGTTATAGACAATGATAAAATTGGCGGGGGTGGGTGGAAAAAGGCCAAAGTTTCTACAGGTAAGTCCTCTATTTTTGGTTGGCCCTGCTTATCTTGAACTGCATAGCATCACTATGAAGTGACCATAAAATCATAGAATGGTTTGGGTTGGAAAGGACCCTAAGATCATCTAGTTCCAGCCCCCCAGAATTGCTAAATATAAAAAAATTGCATTAAAAAATACAAAATAATTGCATAAAAGATATTGTCTTGCTTTCACCACAGAGCTACCTTTCCTTTTGGTGATTCCGCCACACAAAATGGCATGCTCTTCTGGGAGAGAATCCTTCTTCAACTTGAACTCAACCTGGTATGACCCAGCAGGCTCCTGGCTGGACACTCGGCGCACACCTCTCCTCTATGCCTACGGCTGTGGCTGTGCCCATGGCAGAGACTTGTGCCTGGGTGGACACGACTACCGGCACTACGGCTACTACCGCTCGGTCTGCTCCGAGCCAGCACCGTGCCAGGGAAATGGGTGTTCTCACTGTGCTGGGGAGCTGGTGAGCAACTGTGAGGAGTGTGGAGCATGCCATAGCTATGGGGTGTGCTCGGAGGAGTGTTGTGGGGGATGCTGTGATTAATAGGAGATCAGGGTGTGAGGGACCTTGGCATGGTCTTGGACTCTCACACATTGCTGTATTCAGCCACAATGCTGTGTAGGAGCCCATCACTTGTTTAGGGCTGAGAAAGGTGCTTAGCACATGAAGTCCTTTTGCTTCTCTTTTCTCATGTTTCCTTGGGTTTATCATGCTTTTTGTGGTTTTCTCTCCCACTCTTCCCCTGCTGACTTGACAGAGAATATCTCCTCTGTCTTCATGGCAGGGGGAAGGGGAGGGATAATTTCCTGCTGAATTTATGCAATCTGCTTTCCTGCTTCACTTCCCAGATGTGTGTGCTGAGATAAAACTCCAGCTCACAGGTTTGCTGTCTCTCTTCCTCTGGCTCTTTCTAAATCTCTCCTTAAATGAATGACACAACCTGAAGTGCTTCAACCTGGCCAAGAGCGTAGGTGAAAACTTGGACTGCTTAGAAAGAATTAAGATAGGAGATTTTATCTCCCCTTCCCCTAAACATTCTCAGTCAGACTCAAAGCCAGCCTGGAGCCTTGTGTCTGGCTTGGTTTCAACCTCCCATTTGGCACAGGATGGGTTTGGCCCTGGCAGAGGGGTACCTGGGTGTCTGGAGGGACAGGGACTGTCGATGGCATCACACAACAACTTCATGCACAATCACTCTGACCCTGATGCTCTTTCCTTGCACCTGCAATCATGTACCTTGCATATAGGAATGATGCTCCTCGTTATTTTAATTAACAGTAATAATAAAACAAATGT